TTGTTTGTGCAGATCCGATAAGTAATAAGGATATTTAACCGTGAGTTCTGTGCTAAGTGCGTTAGCATCTTTTCGCTCAGGGCTAATTCAGAAGCTTTGTATTACCCTTGGGGCATTTGGGGCTTCACTGGTTAAATAAAATGCTGTAGTAGAACATGATCTGCCTAGCAACAGGATTCAAACACTTTATATTTCTTCACTGGTTATTTTAGACTCATATTTGGAGGTGTTGTGTTAAATGTCCTCCTCTTGCTGAATATGAAACTCTAAAACACAGCTAAAAGAAGTTGACCTTAGTTTGTTTTGTAACAAGTGAGCCCTCTTTATTTTCTATTCATTAAATAATAATAATAATAATAATAATAATAATGCATTACATTTATGAAGCGCTTTCCTGGTGCTCAAAGCGCTTCATAATAATAATATATTTTAATTTTTGGCCAATCAGCTTCCTCTTTCTTTTTTGTACCTGTTGTTACTTCCCTTTCCCCCTGAAGACAATAAGGGAACGTAACATGATTTAAATGAAGAATAACAGCTGTTGGCAGGTACATAAAGCGTCAGAGGAACACAAGTAAACTCATGCAAATTAAAGGTAAACAACGACTCTTTAAAAACAGACGTTATCCCTAAACTGCATTTATTTCCTCGGTCTTTAACGGTCACACAAGTCTTAGAAATAATCCTCTTTAAATCCATTCACATCATCACAGAAACAGTCATGTAAATGTTCTGCCAGAAGTAATTCACAGAAACCTAAATAACCACGTCTATAATGAACAGAATTTAACATTTTAAGTGCATTTTGTTTTTATCTTGCACTGTTTGTGTCTGTGTTCAGTTTCTGTGAATGTTTACATCCCTCTCAATATCACAAACAGAGCGCTAAGATAAACAGATAATATATATATATATAACTTCATAAATCTAGAGTCTATAGCCCTTCAAATGTCTAACTCTTTCACATTGCATATCAGGAGATAGAAAATAAGAAATTCAGGATGAAATGAATACATTAATAAAAAAAAACACTAATAAATACATGCATTAATAGATAAATAACTAAGATTAGAATTAATAAATTAACAAATACATTTATTTTAATTTTATTAATAAGTAAACAAATAAGTAAATAAACGAATAAATAAGTTAATTAATTAATTAATAAACAAATAACTAAATTAATAAATACAAAATATAATTTAACAAGAAAATACATATATAAATAAATACATAACAAAATAAAAAATACATTTCCTATATTTTCTAAGTTTCAAAACATCACAGGGAAAACGTCTAAAAATAACAATTCATGTTGAAATTAAACCCCATTATAATAATCTATATGGCTTCCAGGTGCTCGTTCTGTCTTTATCACACAATAGAAAACATGCTTTGTGCACCGAGTTTTATAAAGTCCAGTTACTCTGAAATACGGGGACAATAAGGAAAATATTAACCAATAATCACAAAGATGCAGGAGATATTAGGCGGCCATTTTGGACGTCTGCGCCACTTCTGATTGTTTTTCTTTGTTCTGTATCATCTTTGCAGAAATGTGTTATTTGTAATACTGATTCATGGGACAGTAGCTATTGGTTTCCATCAAAATGAGTTGCAAATATTTAACACAATTCAAGAAAACGTGTTGCCTTCCGCTGTGTGTTTTTTTAGGAGATAAGCAGTAAAATCAAAATGCTAATTCTGCAGCAGAGCAGAAGAAGAAGATACAAGATGGTGTCATTACAAAGCGGCATAAAAACGTGAAAAAATACTCTCAGATGACTGATAAGAAGTGGGCGGGACTTTGAGATGACAGACAGTAAGTGGGCGGGTCTTTTAGATGACTGACAGGGAGTGGGCGGGACTTTCAGTTGACTGACAGTAAGTGGGCGGGACTTACAGATGACCGACAGTAAGTGGGCGGGACTTTCAGATGATCGACAGTAAGTGGGCGGGACTTTCAGATGACTGACAGTAAGTGGGCTGGAATTAGAGGCGGGACTTTCAGATGACTGACAGAAGAGGGCGGGACGTTCAGATGATTGACAGGAAGTGGGCGGGACTTTTAGATGACTGACTGTAAGTGGGCGGGACTTTCAGTTGACTGACAGGAAGTGGGCAGGACTTTTAGATGACTGACAGTAAGTGGGTGGAGTCTACTTGATGTCTGACAAGTAAGTGGGTGCGGCTATTCGGTGACTGTCAGTAAGTGGGCGGGACTTTCAGAAGACTGACGAGAAGTGGGCGGGACTTTAACATGACTGAGGGCAGGACTTTCAGATGACTGACAGTAAGTGGGCGGGACTTTCAGTTGACTGACGAGAAGTGGGCGGGACTTTCAGAAGACTGACGAGAAGTGGGCGGGACTTTCAGATGATTAACAGTAAGTGGGTGGGACTTTCAGATGACTGACAGTTAGTGGGCGGGACTTTTAGATGACTGACGAGAAGTGGGCGGGACTTTCAGATGACTGACAGGAAGTTGGCAGGGCTGACAGGAAGTGTCTGTTTCCACGGTTACGTGAGCTCGCTCCAGCTGTAGGCGAGGAACAGCAGAACGAGGCAGAGCACGTGAAGAAGACTGGAGCCAATCAGGTCCCAGATCTGCCAGGAAGGGGGCGGGGTCTGAGTGGTGACGGACACCAATGAGGGAGAGGAGGGGGCGGGGCTCTTAGATGAGACCGCCACTTCCTGTTTCCTGTCTGGAGAGGAAGTATCAAAGGAAACCAGCGCCTGCACCGTGAGGCTGAGAGGCTGCAGGCGACTCTGGATGATGTCATAGGGCGAGCAGAGGGAGGACTGGCACCCCCGAAAACAATATGTGAAGGAGAGGAAACAAGGGAGGAGGAAACAAGGGATAAGGAGGAAGAGGAAAGGGAATGAGGGATGCCAAGTATGTGAGGGAAGGAAGAAAAAATAGGAAATGATAGATAGAACAAAGATGAGAGGAAACAAGGAGGAGGAAAAGGAATGAGAAAGAGGGAAGAAAAGGGAACAAGTAGATGAGGGAAGGAAACAAAGGAGGAGCAAAAGGATTGAGGAAGAGGGGGAACATGGGGGATAAAGAGATGAGGAAAAGATACAAGGGAGAAGAAGAGGAAATGATTAGGAAAGGGAACGAGGAAGAGTTAAGAAAAATTGAATAAGATGACGAGGGAAGGATACAAGGGAGTACAAGGGAGGGGAGGAAGAAAGGGAATACGAAAAAATGGGAAATTAAAATCAAATGAATTTGAGACGAGGAGAGAAGCAAGAGAGAGGAAGATGAAAAAAGATTGATGAATAGTATGTGGAAGAAAAGGAAGAGGTGAGAAGATGGAGGAACGTTGAAGGGTTAGGAGTTTTACAAGATGAAGATGGAGGTAACAAGCAGGTTATAAAAGAGGAAGACGAGGATTAAGGAGATTAGAGATGAAGGAAAAAGGAAACAACAGAGAAGAGAGAGAATAAAAAACAGAAATATAAAAAGTGAAAAACAAAGACGTGCCATCGACATAGAGGAGAACGATCCAGCAGGAGAAAGAAAGAAAAGGTTGGAGGTTAACCAACGAAAACAGAGGTCAAAGGTCACAGAGGAGGAAGTGAGGAAGAGGAGGATGATTACTGAGAGGAGGAAGATAAATCACATCTCTCTCTCTCAGTAAACACACCGGGGTGATGGAGAGCCAGCACGTTAGCACAGAAGCTAATCATTAGCACGTTAGCCGCGGAGAAGCTGTTAGCACGTTAGCTCGCAAGCAAAGCATCCACACAGAGGTCAGCAAGCAGCAGCAAGATGTATGAATAAATACACGAGGTCAACGGCTCACAGCGGGATAAATACACGTATACAAATGTTGTGTAATCTCAAAGAGAAGACCAAGAGGAAACTTTGTTTTGTTCGATCTCAAGACAAAAAACACGGCGTTGAAACACAAAAATACAAACAAATATATTACAACTATCACATTTAAAAGTACCAAATGATCCTGACTGATGATATTTGAAATGAGGTGGTGTCAGACTTCCCTTTTTACTTTTCCTTCGTTTCATTTGTGGGTGAAAAATTATGTTTTTTCTCTATTGACTCCTCATGCCTAAAGTTGATATTGTAAACGTCTGTAAAGTAAATATGAAGCCATAAACTTTGTGTTTAACGCAGCCTGTGCTAGAGTATGAGAATCCCCTTAAAAGGCACCAATGTAAGCCGTACTAAAACAGTGTGAATGCGACAGATCAATGTTTAATGTTGGGAAATGTACCAGGTTATTTCTTCTTCTGTTGCCTGTTCTTTAATCTAGAAATAGTCAAGCCCATAACTCTCTGTAAAAACATCGATTTGTCTTTTTTTTGTATCCGTTTTTGGTCCAGATTATGCGAAAAGTATATATTGTGTTTACATGCACCAAATATTCAGCTGGTTCCAGATAAGCAATACACACACACACACACGTTTGTACGCACACACACACACAAGTACACACACATGTTTATACACACACTGACACGTTTATACACACACACACTCTGCTTCATTCTCCTGCCTGCTGTCATGATGGAGGAAGCGAAGCCACAGGCAGCGATGATGAAGATGATGAAGATGACTCAGCGTTAAAAACCCGTTTAAAGCGACATGAACAAAAAAAAGGAGTAACAACAAACCAGAGCTGGGAGACGCTGAGGGCTTCACTAGTTTATATTTAAATAAATAAACACAATTTTGGAAGTAGGAGAAGATTATTAAACTGTTTTAGTCAACATTTTTGATAACACCTCAATGCTAGTCTCCAATATGCAGTGTCCTGCAAATATTACTTTTTTTAAGATTACTCTTTACGTTCTGAATTTTTTCTCGAAAGATCACATTTTTTTCATTTTTCTTAAAATGTACTTT